AGGGAGACAGGGAGGGAGACAGGGAGGGAGGGAGGCAGGGAGGGAGGCAGGGAGGGAGGGAGGCAGGCTAAGTTTCACATTCTGCTGCTGCTCATATATGAAAAGCATAGCAATAAGGTCACCTTCTCCTTGTCCTCTTCCCATCCCGAATCCCTATGGGCAAAGAACCAACCATGTGGCTCCAGGCACAGGAATAAGTTTAGTCCATACTTCCAAACACATCTGTACCTTCCATTCATTATGTACCCACATCTGTTTGAATACAGGGATAAAATAATGTCTTCTAAAACACTGGCAGTTAGCAATTACTTGTTGTCTCTTACCACCACATATAAATTCCCTCAAATTATAAATGCTTTAATCGTAACCAAGTACTATCAAAAGTAACTGTAAATCCATCATCTTTAGATCTTTCACAAAAATAATCATGCATATTAAAGCTATCAATATTATTTTTTGAATACACATAATTTTGAGGAAAAATGCATTTCCTATGGGATTAATTCACCAAGCAAAGAAATCCCTGTAAGCAAAAATCCTTTCACATTCTCATCCATTGATGACTGCTTAGCATCTTCTCTTTCATTTAAACCAAACATAGCCTACATCATCATTTCATGCCTTTTCTCTCTAATTAGATAAATCTGATTGCTCTTCTTTCTCTACAGATTAAAAGGTTGGGATGTTTTGTTTTTCCAGTATTTCAGAATTCTAATCCTCAGAGCACTATGATGACAGGAAGAATTGTGTGATTTAGAGAAAGCAGGCTCCAAGGAAATATAGCTAAAGAAAGAGGCCACGCACCATGGTGGCTCATGCCTGTAACTGTAGCACTTTGGAAGGCCAAGGTGGGAGGATCACTTGAGCCCAGGAGATTGAGACCAGCCTGGGCAACATAAGAAGACCCCTGTCTCTACAAGAAATCGAAAAAACAGCCAGGTGTGGTGGCATGTGCCTGTCATCCCAGATATTTTGGAGGCTGAGGTGGGAAGATCATTGCAGTAAGCTGTGGTTGTGACACACCATCCTCGGTGTGTGTAATCCAATCCATCCTTAGTGACAGATGAAGACCCTGTCTCAAAAAGACAAGACGAGCACACACAATAAGGATATTCTTTTTTTTTTTTTTTGAGACAGAGTCTTGCTCTGTCGCCAGGCACCAGGCTGGAGTGCAGTGGCATGATCTCGGCTCACTGCAACCTCCGCCTCCCGGGTTCAAGCAATTCTCCTGCCTCAGCCTCCCGAGTAGCTGGGACTACAGGCACGCGCCACCATGCCCAGCTAATTTTTGTATTTTTTTAGTAGAGACGGGGTTTCACCATGTTGGCCAGGATGGTCTCGATCTCTTGACCTTGCGATCCACCCACCTCGGCCTCCCAAAGTGCTGGGATTACAGGCGTGAGCCACCGCGCCCGGCAGGATATTCTTTTAAATATAAACACATAGATTCCTATAAAAGATAGTGGTCTACTCCAGCTATTTCCAGCTCATGACATTGACCTGGGCTCTTGTAAGCAACCCCATTCTTACCTAGATTGGAGGATGCTCGCCCTTCTGCAGCCCGGTCCTTGAGATCCTCAGCAATGCCCAGCTGCTGCTCATGGTACTGTTTAGCCCTCTCCAAATCCTGCATGCACCTGGCAGCATGGCCTAGTCCAGCATAGGCTCGCATCTCAATGGCCTTCTCCATCAACTCCTGTGCCAGCTCCAGGACATAGTTGTGGTAAGACATGGCCTTGTCAAAGTTCCTCCGGTAGTGATAGGCACTGCCCAGGTTGCTGTAAGCCCGGGCCTCTTCTCGCTTGTTCCCCAGGTCCTTGGCTATCTTCAGATGCTGCTCATGGCACTGCACAGCATTCTCAAAGTCACCCATGGCAATGTACACAGCTCCCATGTTGCCAAGTTCTCGGGCTTCAGAAAGTTCATCTTTGGATTGCTTGGCAAGAAGAACACACTGCTTGTGACTGGCCAGTGCATTGGGGTAGTCTCCAATGGCTGTGTACACATGGCCCAGACTGCTCAAGGCTGATGAAGCTGCCTGGAAAGAAAAGGATAATGTGGAAAAATGAAAACACACCAGAATGGTTTTGGTATGTTTTGGCAAATAAAATTTTACAGGTTGCTTGTAACTATCCGATCCAATTCCTAATGGTACTTCTGTCAGTTTTCCACACCTATGCAGAACTGATAAAGAACACATCCAAACAGCAAGTTCCTAATAAAAGACAATGGTGCTTTAATCAGTAACTTTCTATACCTAATCTCATAGAAACAAGGTGTATTACATATAACCTTCATTTTAAACACTTGACATTTATAATATTAATTATGATATTACATCTCTGTTAATACTAACCTCTGTGGTATGAGAAAATGTTTAAGAAAATTGAAATTAATTACTACATATAACAGACTATAGGAAAGTCATAGGAGAAATCCATGCTTGGCTTTTTACACTCCTGGGTATTTCTCTATTCTTGTCTTCTTCCACAGTAAACAGATATATTAATGGTAAGAGAGATGTTTACCATGTTGACTAATGATTCTGTGACCCAAAATTCACTGGAGAGGGTCCTGCTCTCTATTCTTTGTTCCTTCAAGGTAACTTCATCACTGTTGGTTACCGTGAAGGACTTATATTTGGATGAGTCTCAGAGAAAAAAAAAACAGGTGAGTTACAACGTACTGTACCTCTGAGTGGGGTGGTCTCCATTAATCCTCACACCCCCTTCTCAGGCTCACACTGGCTCTTCAAGTATTTCTTTTCTTGCCTAGAAGTGCTTCTAACTCCAGCCTCTCTGTGCAGAGAGATGCCGTCTTCCTAGTTCTCCTTTCACATTGCTTGTCACCCATTCATTTTCGGTGTTTTTTTTTTTTTTTTGGTCCAGGAAAAAGTACACAAACCTTTTTGTCTTAAAGGTTTTAATGAAACTAACTCTATGCTGGTATAGTGAACCACAAAGGGACAACAAAAGCACAGGAGATGTTACATGGTTTCTAAAATCTTAACAAATACTTGCAGTCTTAGATTCTAGTCTTCGGTTTCTAATTTCTTTGTAGATATAAAAGGGAAGTTATGCTGGGATTTTTCTGTCCTTCTTTTTATCCTAAAAGTTGGAAGCTTGCCTACCCTTTCTTTCCTTCATCACCTGCCTATGGCTAGAGCCATGTGGCTTCCTCTCTTCACGATGCTCCCTCCCTCTTAGTAACGTGAGCATGTGATCCTCCCAGAACAAAGGGTGTACTCTGTTACACATAGGCAAGTAATTTTCCTAAGGGCCTCCCAGCTAGGGAATAGCAATTAGGGGACGCTGCCCCTCCTGGAGTAAGGGCATTTCTTTATGAGACGTGTTCTATGTCTGTATACTTCGGAACACTTTTATTAATATTTTATAGATATGAGTGATTTTCTACCCTATTTTCTTTGTCTGTAAAGTAGCAGTTCTTGATCAAAATGACTGAGGAAACTTTTTTTATGGTGCTTGCAAATAGTGTATTGGCAAAAAAAAAAAAAAAAAGTCCCATATTGTTTTAAGTTGCTTTTATCATTTTACAGATGTTCTAACAAAAAGATTTAGAAAATAGAGAGGAAATAAATATATTAGAAATTTGCTTTTCTGTTTTTTTTCTGAGTTGTGGAGAGCAGAAACAATTCCACGAAAGTAACAATGCTGCAGCAATGTGCTTCTGGCAGAAGCAGCAATGAAGTCACCAAAAGCATGTCACTTGGACGTGTAAAGGCCTCAGGTTCCTACTTTGTGAGCCTCTTTGAGACTGAGGTTAGGACTTCATGTCAACACATTGTACATGGGACTTTCTATTGCTCCCACCTCCACCCACCCCCATGCCCCAAAGCTCCTTTTCTCCTTTGCTGCAGGCCCAGAGACTCGGCCTCTTTCCTCTACTTGAGTAGTTGGCCCTCCCTACCTTATTCTTTGTGGGTTCTTCTCCACCCAGGCCTGGCTAGGGAGGACACAACCCACTCCCATCCAAAACTCTTTGTTACCCTCAAAGCAAAACATATAGGCTCTTTGACTATGGAGCTAGTGTAGTTTAGAATCAGATATACCTTGTTCAGAATTGCAATGCCCTTTAATAGCTCTGAGAGCTTTAGCAACTTAACTTCTCTGACCCTTGCTTTTCCATACATTTTTAGGCCCAAGCAGCAAGCCAGAAACAGAGTATTTTCAAACCTAGCCATGAGCCCCTGTCAAATATGTAAACCATAAATAATTCACTAGATAATTCCAAATAGTAGATCTGGTTGAGGCAATGAGCCTTTGAACACTGCATGGGATGGATTTATAAGTCTCGGGGTAGGCACAACACCCCAGGCGTCGCTGTTCTCAGGAACTTCTGGTTTATGGCAACTCCAAATGATAGCCCTGGGATCTTCTGCTTCTGGTTCTTCATTTCTCTAAATGCCAGGGAGACATAGGAGCAGCTTACTAAAGCTCTCTGAACATAAGGAAGGGAATATTTAGGGATTTCCCCTCTGGGCCGTGGGAGAAAAAGGGAAAGAATATTACACTGGCTCTTTCCTGGCATCCTCCAGTTACCAGGCAGTGCTGTGAGACTAGCACTCTTCATGACGGGTGTCCTGGAAGTCAGTATCTCTAGAAAGAATGTAATGTATGAAGCACATATCATAGCCTCTGAAATTAGAGAGGCAGTTTGGTATAATATAAGAATGGAAAAGGATTTAGCATCAGAGGCCCTGGCTAGGTAACACTAATAGGTCGTTCACTTCTTCACTCTTGTTTTCTTTATATGTAAAATGTTGCTAAGACAATACTGTACATACTTCACAGGGCTGGGATGGCATCAGATGAAGCAGTGCATATGAGTGCCTTCAGTAAACTATAAAGTGCTCTGTGAATGCATCACTAAGGTGTGGATGGATGTTTTATGACTGCAAGCTGCCTGGGCTGAGTTCTGTTACCAAGCAAAAGCTAGTAATGGCAACTGAAAACATCAATCATTATGACCAAACATCTATATTCCTATCAGTTGCTACAGGAAATAAAGTCCAGTGTTTTACAGCCCCTGGGCAAATAACATGTGATGATACTTATCAGCTAAGTGAATTACAAATTAATCACTTGTCTTTGTTCCTGTTCCTGTAGAATAAGCCTAGATCTGAAACATGGTTTCAGGCTGTTAATGAGAATCTGAAGACCCACTATCTATGGGGAATCATAGGCCCCACCTCAAGCAGATGCTGCATTTGCCACTAAGGTTCATGCTGCCTTTGTATATTAATCTCTTTGAGACTTCTGTGCTAGAATAGCAGCAGCTGCTTCCCACAGTGGAAACATTCTGGAACATCTGTATTTGAATACTAAAATGCATACAAACAGTTATGCTAACAAACTATCTGGTTGGAATAAGACAACACTCTTCTCTTTCTACAAGATATAAATTACTCATGTTCTTGCCAAAGTATAATTTCCAGCTGCAGATTTGGCACAGAGGAGTCAGTCACCTCTTGCTCTGTGACCTGAATATTTGCAGGAGAATTGCATCTGACAAGTTAGTTTCATGGGACATAAAGCTAGAGTAAGAAATCTGTTCCCATTTCTTCAAACCACCTTTAAAGGTTTTTAGTTTGAGAAATAAAGTTTAAACTACCCAAACTATAACCACCTCGATGACACTACTGTTAAATATTATGCTGAAGATTTAAACATGTTTTCCTTCCATCTAGTAAGTTTTTCCCTTACCATATGTATTTTTCATAAGGGTTATATCTTGTGGGAGGATTACATGCCCATAGTGTTATACAGAGAATATTCAATATAATTGCTGATTGATTCACTGCATGTCACTGGAAAAATGGGAAACGTACCTGCAGCTAGTACCAGAAATATTATATTTCTTTTTTACTGCCCAAGTCCACGCACTCCATGTACTATCTGCCAGTTCAGTGCCCATAAACCCAAAGTCCTAGATTAACTACCTACAACCCAATAGGCAGAGATACATAGACGAATAAGGATAGACTCTGGAATTAGGCATGCACAAATTCAAATAACACACTGTGATAACACACATTTGTAACATACTTGAGACTTAGTTTACTCATCTGTAAAATGGAAATATTGATATCTCACAGAGCCTTCACAAGTACTAAATAACACAGTATTTATAATGACCTTAATTCAGAACTCAGCAATAAGATGCTCAAAAATTTTAATTTTAGTTTCTCCTCCTATCCCAACCAACGTAATACTTAGCTTTTATTCATTTCAAAGATGTGATAGAAGATGACCAGAAAATAAACCATAAGGTTATGTCCCCACAACTAAAAAGACAACACAAGAAGCTTGCCCCACTGATGGTCAAAAATGTCATCGATTTCATATACTGAAGACCAGCATATTATTCATACTGCTCTTCTGCAAATATGTGCATAAGAAAATCCACCCTTGTAGCACAGTACTACTGGTGGGTACCTGTAATCCCAGTTACTTAGGTGGCTGAGGCAGGAAGACTGTTTGGGCCAGGAGATTGAGGCTACAGGGAGTTATGATCATGCCACTGTACTCCCAGTCTGGATGACAGAGCAAAACCCCATCTCTTAAGGGAAAAAAAAAAGACAGAAATCCACCCTTTACTTAGAGACATTTTAGAATCCAACACATATTCAATACATAATCCAACACAAATACAGTTAGGTGTATATGCAACACATAATCTTGGTAAATGCACTATACTTCCAGCAGTGAAAGTTTAGCCAGGCACTGGAGAGTTTGGGGTCTGTTGGTTGGTTCCTTTGTTCATTCATTCTTGCATTCAAGAAAATTATCTAGGCCTAGAAATAAATTGATGTACATATAGCCAACTGATTTTTGACAAAGTTGCCAAGAACATACATTGGAGAAAAAGGTAGTCTCTTAAAAAAAAAAGTGCTGGGAAGATTGAATATTTATATGCAGAAAGACAAGACTAGACTCCTTCTCTCACCATATACAAAAATCAAGTAGATTTAATACATTCAAAAATAGATTAAAGGAGTTGCTGGCAAGATGGCTGAAT